AAAGGAATAGCTGGCCAGGCACAGCGGCTCATGCCTGTAATCCCAGCACTTTGAGGGGCTGAGGGGGACAGATCACCTGAGGTTAGAAGTTCAAGACCAGCCTGGCCAACATGGTGAAACCCTGTCTCTACTAAAAATACAAAAATTAGCTGGGCGTGGTGGCACATGCCTGTAGTCCTAGCTACTTAGGAGGCTGAGACAGGAAAATGGCTTGAACCTGGGAGAAGGAGGTTGCAGTGAGCCGAGATCACTTACTCCACTGCCAGCCTGGGTGACAGAGTGAGACTCTATCTCAAAAAAAAAAAAAAAAAAAAAAGAAAGAAAATCTTCTTCCTCCACCTCTGTCCTCAGTTCCCCCCTCCAGAGATAGCCCCTGCTGACGGTTTTTAGGCATTCTTCCTGTTTAACAGGTGCATGTTTTTATGGCTAATATAGGTCAATACTGTATATTCATAACACATACAATAAAATCCCAGTGGAACGCACAAGAGAGGAGAGGCAAGAATTCACTTATTGAAGAATCCTGGCCCAGATGCTTAAGTGAGCATTTTTGAAGGGGTGTTTGCAGAATATGTGGTTCAAACTTAACAGTCAGAGAAGCGGTGTGGAAAAGATGCTGAGCTGTTTTCTCAGTTAACATCTCCAGGTCACTGCGTGATTTTAAGGCAGGAGGATCCCTTGAGCCCAGGAGTTCAAGACCAGTCTGGGCAACATGGTAAAACCCTATCTCCAGAAAAAATACAAAAATCAGCTGGGTGGAATGGTGCACCCTTGTAGTCTCAGCTACTTGGGGGTGCTGAGGTGGGAGGATCACCTGAGCCCAGGAGGTGGAGGCTGCAATGAGCCGTGTTCGCACCACTACACTCCAGCCCGGGTGACAAAGACAGACCTTGTCTCTAAAAAAAAAAAAAGTTATCCACTACTTCTGTGCCTTAGTGTAGCCACTTGCAAGGTGGACACCAACATCCCCCACTTCCAAAGCAGGGGCACCGTGTTCTATAATTAACGTTGACAAGATGCTCCAACACGCTCTGATTGAAAACGAGAGGAATTTTGGTGAGCTCCCCGGCTAAGGCATGTGTAACTGCAGTCTGATGAATGTTGTATTTAAAGATGTACTCCAGGGCCACGTGCGGTGGCTCACACCTGTAATCCCAGCACTTTGGGAGGCTACGGCAGGCAGATCGAATTGAGCTCAGGAGTTTGAGACTAGCCTAGGCAACACAGCAAAACCCCATTTCTACTAAAAATCCAAAAATTAGCCGGGTGTGGTGGTGCATGCCTGTAATCCCATCCACTCAAGAGGCTGAGGCAGGAGAATCATGAACTGGGGAGGAAGAGGTTGCAGTGAGCCAAGACTATGCCATTGCACTCCAGCCTGGGCAACAGAATGAGACTCTGTCTCAAACATAAATAAAAATGAATAAATAGAGATGTACTCCTTATATTTTAACCCAATAGTTATTTAGCATTTATAAATCATACTATCAAAGATGAGTACTTTATAAATATTTGGTTAAATTGTCCCTTAAAACAGCCATATCGGGCTGGGTGTGGTGGCTCACACCTGTAATCCTGGCACTTTGGGAGGCCTAGGTGGGAGGATTGCTTGAGCCCAGGAGTTTGAGACCAGCCTGGGCAACATAGTGAGACCCCCATCTCTACTAAAAATAAAAATTAAAAAAAAATCAGCCAGACATGGTGCCATATGCCTGTAGTCTCAGCTACTTGGGAGGCTGAAGTGGGAAGATCACTTAAGCATAGGAGATCAAGGCTACAGTGACCCATGATAGCACCATTGTACTCCAGCCTGGGCAAGAGAGCGAGACTTGGTCTCAAAACAAAGAAACCAACCCAGCCACATCCTCAAGGTGGGGAGAGAGAAGGCCTGTAGAAAGCTGGAAGCATGTCCTGCCAAGGGCATGGCTGAGAAGTGGACACAGGCATAACAACGTCTACTTAGATGGGCTCTCCCCCCACTGTCTCCCCTGTACCCCACCACTTCTATCCCTGAGCTCCCAGAGCCCATCAGACAGCCCCGGCCAGGCTCTGGGCCATGTGCACGTGCAGCAGGGGAGGGGGCGTGCCGAGGACTCACGGGCCATCCTCACGCAGAACGCCACAAGCCCAGCGTGTGGTACGCGGGATGTGCCACCACACGGCACATCATGGTGTAAATGGGAAGTGCATCCCACTTCAGGGGCAGGGGCAGGGTGTGGCTGGTCTCTGGAGCAGGCTCCACCTAGCGCTTGGTCATCTCTTGGCCTCAGTGTCCCCGTCTTCAATGGGGACAGGAACAGTGCAAATTTCATAGGGCTGTCTTAAGGATAACAAAGGCTGAATACCTCTGAGGGGCATTACGCTGAGAATAATGCCAGGCATCTGGTTAACCCTAAGTCAATGTTAGACTCTGAGTGGTTTCCTGTGACTCAGGCGAGTAAGAGAATTACTCATACTTCCACAATCCCCTTCCTGAACCCTCTTTCTTCAGCGGTCCTCATTTGTCCTTCTTACAGGAACATAGAGTTTAGAATTCAGAGTCAAATCCTGGGTTTGCTCCTGGCTCTATCTTTCATTCAGTATGTGACATTAGGCATGTTGGTTAACCTCTCACTGAAACTAAGGTGAGAGAGAGAGAGAGAGAGAGAGAGAGAGAGAGAGAGAGAGAGAGAGGGAGAGAGATTTTTTTTTTTTTTTTTTGAGACAGAGTTTCACTCTTGTCGCCTAGGCTGGAGTGCAATGGCACGATCTCGGCTTACTGCAACCTCCGCCTCCTAGGTTCAAGCGATTCTCCTGCCTCAGCCTCCTCAGTAGTTGGGATCACAGGCACCTGCCATCATGCCTGGCTAATTTTTGTATTTTTAGTAGACACAGGGTTTTACCGTGTTGGCCAGGCTGGTCTTGAACTTTTGACCTCAGGTGATCCACCCACCTCAACCTCCCAAAGTGCTGGGATTACAGGCATGAGCCATGGTGCCTGGCCAATTTTTAAAATTTTTAATTATTATTATTTAAGACAGGGTTTCACTCTGTCACCCAGGCTGGAGTGCAGTGGTGCAACCATGGGTCATTGCAGCCTTGACCTCCTGGGCTCAAGAGATCCTACCACCTCAGTCTCCTGAGTAGCTGGGATTATAGACATGTGCCACCACACCCGGCTAATATTTGCATTTTTGTAGAGACAGGGTTTCCCTATGTTGTCCAGGCTGGTCTCAAACTCCTTGGCACAAGTTATCTGCCCACCTCAGCTTCCCAAAGTGCTGGGATTACAGGCATGGGCTACCAGGCTCGGCTGATCTTTATCATGGGAGTAACAATATCTATCACAGTATTTTTGTAAGCATTAAATGTGATAAAGTAGGTAAGAAAAAATGCTGCCACCATGTGTGCAACACAGGGCTTCATAAGGGGCTGCTAACCCTCCCCTCTGCCTGTTTCACTAGGAGAAGGAGTGATCCCCCGAGGGAGTTCAGATGGCACTTCTGTAGACCCTGGGAAGCTGGCAGGAGCTGACACTTGTGTTATAGAATTTCAAACACCTGCCAAATACATTTCAAACCGTCTAGACACCTCGTTCCTAAAGTGTGGTCTGAGAACTTCACAGCATAGACTTCGCCAGATCCCAGGAGCTCACCAAAAATGCATCTGCAGCTCCTCATCTCACGTCCACCCCGCAGCTACTGATTCGGAATCTGGATTTTAAGACCCCCAGTGACTCCCATACTCATAAGAGCTGGGAATCACTGGCCCAGAGTTCAGTCCTCTTTTGGCTACACAACCTTTGGCATATGACTTAATCTCTCTAAGCCTCCATTTCTTTACACGTAAAATGAGGTTGCATGCAATACCTACCCTAGAGGGTGGTTATGAAGATAAAACAAGATAGCTTAGTTAAGCTTTTAGTACAGAGTCCAGCACATCATAGTAAATGCTGGCAATTTAGATAAAATATTTAGATGACTTACATAGCAAATCAAGATACTATATTATCTCATTAGATGTTTACAAAACCTTGTGCTGTGGGCAGAACAGGTATCAATTATCATCTTCATTTTATAGAGGGGTAGGTACACGGGCTTGAGTGGGAGGCAAAACGTGAACTCTCAAGAGGCTGTGTGCAAGTTCCAGCAGGAGAGGGGGACTGACCTCACACCCTCGCCTAAAGGACAGTCTGTCTGGGGACAGCTTGAGTGGAGTCCACAGCAGCAGAGAAGGGACACCCGTTCTGTCCAGCCTACCAGGGCAGTCACATCAACTCTGCAAGCAACAGCTAGTGGCACCTGCCCAGCCAAGGCACCTCAGCTGAACTAGAATGCAGGTTTTCCAGTTCCAAGGTTGGCTTTCTCTCATACCCGAAGCATTCACTCCAGGCTGGGTTAGTCCTGGTGGGAAGGTGGAATAATTATTTCCCTAGACGCCTTTACTAGGGGAGCTCTCACTTGTGGTGTGGACAGCAGGGGAAGAGCGCCCCACAGGCTTTATGTTTTCAATAGTTTCCATCAGAGGCCAGGACAGATTTTAACCAGAGGCCGCTGGTCTTGCAGACTCAAGGGCTAACTCGGCAGGTGTGGGCCCTGCAGGAAGCCCTTGGGCTTTGGTGCAGGCTTGAAGCTGGCAGGGAGCTCTGTGGACACAGAGGAGCCTCAGGGGCTGGTGATTAGGTGGAAGCCTTTCCCTGTACTGAACAGTTTTCCAGACTGACCTTGAATCCTGACCTGTCTTGGGCCAGGCCTGCCCTAATAGAAGCGCTGACTGGTAATGATGTTTTTCTGATGGCTGTTTTTCCATAAAACCAAAGAAAACATAAATCTACAGAGAAGGCAGGCTAGAAAGTTCTGGAAGACAACATGAAGGTGAACAGCATGGAGGCCTTGTGGGGCTCAGGGTACCCTGGTGGTGACGTTGACCGCGGTGTCAGACTGGCTCCGTCTCTCTGTCTGGCCCGCACACTGCCCAGAGCCCGTGGCAAGAAGATGCTTCTCAGAGGCCATGTCATTCTGGGATTTGGAGAGCTCTAAAAGGCAAACACAAGGGTTGACGGGTGGGAACACGCAGCTTTGCTGAGACTTGTGGGAGCCTCTTTTGGGGTTCCCTGAACCCACAGAGAGTAGGTCGCAAGGTCCCAAGAGGGCAAAGTGCACAGAGGCGCAAGGGTGGCACATCCCCTCACCAAGTGCAGAGGCGTCGGGAGGGTGAGCAGACAGTGTGCTGGATCAGGGCAGGAGAAGGCTGGCTTCCTTCAAGGTCCTGCTGTGGTCACCCGGGCCATAGTCAGGGTGAGGTGAAGGGAAATCATCCACCCAAGCTCCCCTGCGTTCCAGGTCACACATGTGTGTGTACACTCGTCCAAACACGAAGGTGGCAGCCTACCAAACAAGCTGGCTTTCTAGGGGTTCCTTACAAAGATGTTACAACTTAACACCATTTCTTGTGACTCTCTGAAGTGAGGTAAAAATAAGATTTGGGGTGTCCTCATAACAATTATAGTAAGCAAACCCTGGAAAGATGACTGTAAACAAATTTGTTTTTACAGTGTAATAGTGGTCTAGAATAAAGATGAATACAGTTCGAAGGAAGGAAGCCACACACAGAAGTGAGAGAACCACCTTGAAGATGGTTTCATTTTCCCTTGAGACCCCCATTCCTCCAAACGAGGACCTTAAAACTGTCTCTAGATCTGTGCTGTCTGGTAGAGAGACAATGCAAGTCACACATATTATTTTAAATTTTTATAGTAGCCACATTTAAAAAGTTAAAAAAAAAAAACAGGTAAAATTAACTCTATTTTATTTATTTATTTATATATTTTATTTATTTATTTTTGAGATGGAGTCTCACTCTGTTGCCCAGGCTGGAGTGCAATGATGTGATCTCGGCTCACTGCAACCTCTGCCTCCTTGGTTCAAGCAATTCTCGTGTCTCAGCCTCCCAAGTAGCTGGGATTACAGGTATGTATCACCACACTCAGCTAAGTTTTGTATTTTTAGTAGAGACAGGGTTTCACCATGTTGGCCAGGCTGGTCTCGAACTCCTGAGGAGCTCAAGATATCCACCCACCTTGGCCTCCCAAAGTGCTGGGATTACAGGCTTGAGCCCGGCCAAATTAATTTTAATTCTATATTTAGTTTAACACAATATATCCAAAATATTAAAACATGTCATCAATATTAAAGTTATCCATGAAATATTTTACTTTTGTTGGATTCCAAGCCTCTGAAACCCAGTGTGTTCACTTTGGTAGTGCATCTTGCAGCCATATTTCAGGGGCTCAAAAGTGACACGTGGTTAGAGGCTACTGCAATGGACAGCGTGGCTCTCGACCTCCCTGGCTGGCTTTGGATCCACTCCTTGGGATGTTATTGCATGAATCCTCTATCCTCTCGCTATGTATGGGTTCTCTCCCGCCTGCACTGCCCAGGAGTGAGTCCTGCAGTGACTTTTCCCTCTAGAGAGGGAAATTCAACACACGCTCCCCGAAACTGCTGGGGTGTCCAGCTTCTCCACCAGGATGCCTCCTAGCCTCCCCTGATAGCAATGCCATCCCCACATCCTCAAGGTGACCATCAAGAAACATTGGGGTATCTTTCTAAGGCCAGCAGCTCCCAAGGTACTAGCACGCACCAGATCCTCAAAGTGGACAAAGGAAAGGACACGCTCAGATGGCCCATCCCAGTCTGGGCTGTGACGCTGTGAGGGGCTCTAATTTCTAACCCCTTAGGAGGAACTGGTCCCCCAGCAATCTCTTCGTGCCCACCCCAAAGCCTGGGCCTATATGGGCCATTTAAAGTTCACAGACAAGGGGAGAGGACGGGCTTTCTTGAGAAATTTGGGCCCTAAGAAACAGGTTTATGGGTCAGTATTATTAGGGGACAAAGGATAAGGAAGAGAAAGAAATGCAGATTGCTTCTAAGCAAGCCGTTTTCTCATTTCCTCTTCCCCCTTCTAAGGGGGACGACAAAGCTGACATTTTCTAGAAATGTACTGATAATACACAGAGCTGCGGTCACTTATTTCCTTCCGCTGGTTTGACTTCATTGGGCAGCTTCAGCAGCTAGAGGTTGTAATTCTGGGTCAGCTTTCAAAACCCCTCAGGGGCAAGGCCACCCTTCAGCACCCGGGCCAGTGCAGAGTCTGGGGCCCTCCACAGCCCCTCCCCGAGGACCTCAGGTGCCAATCTGACTTCCTCCCCTGAGAATGAGGCTTCCCTCTGCACCCACTTCTGTGGGGAAACAGACAGCCAAAAAGATAACAGGGGCACGAGAAGAAGAGCTCAAAATCCAAAGCAATAGGAGTCAGCACCTACAGGACGGGAGAAGGGCGTGTGTGTGGTCACGTGTCCTGTTCCCGCAGAACCAGGGGAAGCACTTGGGAAAGGTCAGAGGCAAAGCACCACTCCCAGGAACCAGAAAGCTGGGGTTTTCTATCTCTGCCTCTGGGCAGGGGCGGGGGTGGGGTGGGGGAGTGGGTGCTGGGGGGGGGGTGTGTGTGTGTATAGGTTATGTGGTTTCAGTCAGCTTCCCACATCTGAGAAGGGATGCTTGCTGCTTTGCTCTTGTGAATTCCCCCACACCTCACCCAGGGACTAGCTCTAGTCGTCCAACTGGGTATTTCACTGGTTAGCCTCAAGTGTGTGAGCAGGTACACAGGCCAGGCTATGGGGTGGCTGTCTGACAGCTGTGAGCACATCCAATGCACCTGTGTGTAGGGCTGGGAGCGTCCAGAAGGTGCGTGTGTGCTGATGTGTGTGTCCCACCTCTCTGGATTTCGGTGACTGAGGGATGACAGGGCTGGGGCTAACTCCAAGGCACTGATTCCACAGTGGCAGTGGTGGGAGACAATTCACAGAAGCCACATAGATTTGGAGAAGGGCTGTTCATCTAGAAAGACATACAGGGAAGGGTGGACTAGCACCTACTGGGGTGTGGGTGGGAAAACAGCACCAACAAGAGAACAGGCAGCCAGGACAGCTGGAAAACGAATTCCAGGCCGAGGGGCACAGAGCGGGGGTACTGTCAGCGAGCCCCGCAGGGTGGGAGCAGTGATTTTTAAGCCACCAAGTGCTCTTAGCAAACAGGCTCATGAAATTCAGCTGCTTCCTCCCTCTGAACAAGGAAGGAACAGACCATTGCATGAGACAGTCACTGTTTCTGTTCATCTGAAGAGCAGTGCTCTGACGTCCATTGTCATCGTGTGACAGCTGAGACAGGGCCCATGAGGAATATGGACAACTAATTAAAGTCATATAAAGAGACTGTCTCAGAGCCAAGTGCAGCACTGAGACCATCTGCACGCAACTGCAGAAAAGGGGATGATGAAGAGAAGCCGAGCAGAAACACAGTGAAAGAGAAATCCATGCCTAAGGACACTTGAGCCCACTAAGGACATTTTCTAAACACCTGACCAGCCCTGGGCATCTTAGGAGGCATGAAAAGGAGTCTGTCCTCTGGGACTTGCATTTTAAGATAAATAGAGAAAAAAGTATCTGAACAGAGAGAACACTGAAAGACACAAGATTCCAAGTGGAAGTGGTTCCGGGTTACGTGCACCGGAAAATCACAGGATTACTGCTAACCGAAGAAAATACATTTACCAAGGAGAAAAGGAGAAAGGTGAAGTAATTCCATGCAGATGATAGATATTGGGCCCCACCGGCCTGAAAGGTTCTGGTTTTAGATTCCCTGAAATTACATCTTTCTTTTCTTCTCTTTTTTTTTTTGTTTTTTGTTTTTTGTTTTTTGAGATGGAGTCTTGCTCTGCTGCTAAGGCTGTAGTCCAGTGGTGCGATCTCGGCTCAATGCAACCTCCGCCTCCTGGGTTCAAGTGATTCTCCTGCCTCAGCTTCCCCAGTAGCTGGGATTACAAGCACCCACCACCACGCCCAGCTAATTTTTGTATTTTTAGTGGAGACGGGGTTTCACCATGTTGGCCAGACTGGTCTCGAACTCCTGAATTCAAGTGATCCACCCACCTTGGCCTCCCAAAGTGCTGGGATGACAGGTGTGAGCCACCAGGTCCAGCCCTGAAATTGTCTCTTTACGTTTTCTCTGTTGGTCCTCAGGGAAGTCTAAACTCCTTTGCCCATGACGCTGAGCTAGGCAGGTTTTGGCGGGAGTAGGGGAAACTGAGCCAGCCTTGTAGACTGAAATGGCATTTCCCTTCCCACAAGGAACCATAGGCCTGCTCTGTTGGGAAAGAGGTGAAGGGTCAGGTGCTGTGGCTTTCCCCGGGGTCCAGACACAAAGTGAGTGGCCTGAGGGACAGTGCCAACTGAGATCACCGGCCAGGCCCTAGCCAGTGGGCTCGGCTGGTCTGGAGGGTGGTGGGAAAACACATCATGAAGCATGCACTTACTTTTCACGTGGGTAGCAAGAGACAGAAACAAATTTTCCACGGACTTATTAAATCCTCTACACTGACCAAGTTCCTGTAACTAAAACAGAGACAGAAGGAGAGAATGAGAATTATGCTTGATGACTTGTGTTTGCCTCAGCAGCGTCCAGGCTGCCAACCCCAAAACACTAGCATGTGGGTGTGTGGGCATGAGTGTGGGTGTGGTGCTGGGGGTGCAGGTGGGCGTGGCTGTGTGCATGCAGGCCTGGAGGTGGACAGCAGTCTTCCGGAGGTGTAGGCATCCTCTTTATTCAGTGTCTCTCCTTGCTTTTGATATTCACATTGAAGGAGCATTATCAGTGGGTTGTTGACAAGATGACAAGTACCCCTGGGAAATGATGACTGGCATTTCACTGGCTCAAAGACTGTACTCAAGTAAATTACTGCTTGTTTAACCTCTTTTCTCCTATGGCTCCACCCCAACTCCATGCAGAGTGGGATGTCAACAGTGGCAGAATGTGGGTGGCACAGAGGATAAGGATGGTAAAAGCTACAAGGGGACCAGCTGAGAGGGGAGGGGCTCCACTTCCCAAAGCAGAAGAGAAGGAAAAAAAAGATAAAACAACAGAAAGGAGTTCACTTCCTTCTCCAAGTCTCATTCATTCATCCATCCATCCACCCATCTAGCCACCAAACCTTCATCCATCCTACCATCCATCCAATCATCCATCAGTCCGATAAATACATCTTGAGCATGTAGGTACTGAAACAACTCTGGAGAATTTGAAATTTCAAGGAGAAAGGAGAGCAGGATTTTGAAGGTCACCCCAGAGTCTCAGTTTGAAATTGAAAAAGAAGGCCGGGCGCGGTGGCTCAAGCCTGTAATCCCAGCACTTTGGGAGGCTGAGACGGGCGGATCACGAGGTCAGGAGATCGAGACCATCCTGGCTAACACGGTGAAATCCCGTCTCTACTAAAAAATACAAAAAACTAGCCGGGCGAGGTGGCGGGCGCCTGTAGTCCCAGCTACTCGGGAGGCTGAGGCAGGAGAATGGCGTGAACCCGGGAGACGGAGCTTGCAGTGAGCTGAGATCCGGCCACCGCACTCCAGCCCAGTCGACAGAGCGAGACTCTGTCTCAAAAAAAATTGAAAAAGAACGTATGTGATTCTTCTCTCTTATCAGCATTATATATTTTTGGGTTTGGATCATAACCTCAAAGACAGTCTCAAATGCCATAATCCCAAATGTTGAAAGATCAAAATCTCTAAAGTCTAAATCCCTAAAGATTAAAATCCCTAAAGTCTACATCCCCAACATCTAAAATCCCCAAAAATCACAATTACGGGATAGTTGCATCATGTTAGGGGACCTATTACCTTGTTACTGCCTGTATTAAATTAAGTATGACTTAAGGAGAGCCTATGGGTACCAGGTTGACAAGGGGTGGACTTAATTAATTAATGACACCTTAATTATAGATATCTACTTGACTTGATTCAGGAATACCTAGAAGCCTGGTAAGGCATTATTCTGGGTGTGTCTGTGAGGGTGTTTCCAGAGGAGATCAGTGTGAGTCTCAGTGGATTAGGTTAGAAAGATCTGCCCTCGATACTGACATGTACCATCACTCAACCAGGGGCCTAAGGAGAACAAACACAGCAAGGGAATTGGTCTCTGAGAGCTGGAACAGACTTTTCTTCTGCTGCCTTGGATATCAGAACTCCAGGCTGATTGGCCACTGGACTCCAGGACTTAGACCAGAGGCTCCCTGGGTCCTGTGGCTTTCAGCTTTGAACTGAGAGTTACACTGTCAGAGCTGTCTGAACCAGGGCAACTCCATCTTGAATAGGCGCTGGGTAAAATGAGGCTGAGACCTACTGGGCTGCATTCCCAGATAGTGAAGGCATTCTAAGTCACAGGACGAGATAGGAGGTCAGCACAAGATACAGGCCATAAAGACCTTGCTGATAAGACAGGCTGCAGTAAAGAAGACAGCTAAAATCCACCAAAACCAAGATGGCGACAAGAGTGACCTCTGGTTGTCCTCGCTGCTACATTCCCGCCAGTGCCATGACAGTTTACAAACACCACGGTAACATCAGGAAGTTACCCTACACGGTCTAAAAAAGGGGAGGCATGGATAATCCACTCCTTGTTGAGCAAGTCATTGAGAAATAACCATAAAAATGGGCAACCAGCAGCCCTCAGGGCTGTTCTGTCTGTGGAGTAGCCATTCTTTATTCCTTTACTTTCCTAATAAACTTGCTTTCACTTTACTCTATGGACTCGCCCTGAATTCTTTCTTCCTCGAGATCCAAGAAGCATCTCTTGGGGTCTGTTTCCTGTAACAACACCATCAGCTTTCCTGATGCTGACCCCTTGGGACTTGGACTGACTCACGCTACTGGTATCCCAGGGTCTCCAGTCTGCAGATGGCCTGCGGAGAGACTTCTCAGCTGCCACGATCATGTGAGCCAATTCCCCTAGTAAGACCCTTCTCATATATCTATATACGTATCCGATTGGCTGTGTCTACATGGAGAACCCTAATACAGATTTGGTATTGAGGAAGTCAACTATCATTCCTTCTTATTGTATTCCTTACAGCACAACAGAAGAGATCTGTGAAATGGTTCCTTCACCAAAAAGCCTGTGATATGAGTATAAGGTTATTTGATAATGAATGGTAAAAGTTTAAAAACTAATTAGTATTGGTGCTACAAAGGCAGGAAATGGCTTAATTACCATGATTGAGCAAGAACCAGCCTTTCAAATGGACAGCATGTGCTTACAAAATGCGTAGACCTGGCCGGGTGCGGTGGCTCACGCCTGTAACCCCAGCACTTTGGGAGGCAGGCAGATCACGAGGTCAGGAGGTCAAGAGCAGCCTGGCCAATAGTGAAACCCCGTCTCTACTAAAGATACAAAACAAATTAGCTGGGCATGGTGGGGCATGCCTGTAATCCCAGCTACTCAGGAGGTTGAGGCAGGAAAATTGCTTGAACCCAGGAGGTAGGGGTTGTGATGAGCCAAGATCACACCATTGCACTCCAGCCTGGGCAACAAGAGGGAAATTCCGACTCAAAAAAAAAAAAAAAAATGCTTAGACCACAGCCACTCTCTCAATACAAGTGCAGCGAGTGTTTCACAGATCTTAGAAGTAAAAACACAAGCAAAAAACTACAAGAAATCTCCCCTGCCAAATTATTTACTTTAGTTGTGTATAAGCACTGCCCCTTCACACACAGCAGTTTGCTATGCTATGTAGTTCATCATTTCCCATGCTGGAGGTAAAAATTGCAGAGACTTTTAGACAGTTTTAATTTCTGTTATGTACTTTTTTTTTTTTAAATTGACTGCATGCTTCGAAGTACATCATCACACTATGACTTTGAGCTGTACATAAAAATGTTGATATTTCCTAAGTGAAGAGATCTCCTTTTTGTACATCTGTATTTGCAAAAGATAAAATTTCTTGAGATCTCAGTTGCTTGGGTGACTGCATATGCAATGGTGACCCATGGCGGTTTTTGATCCATCTCATCAAATGACTGTTTGAAAAATACTGTTGTTCATGACAATATTTCAGTTACAAAGCTGGATGCACACAACACCGGCCACAGTAACATGCATTTCTACACTTCTCTGATGTATTTATGAATATAGTTCAGCTGTTCATAATTGTTATACCCATGTGACTGTCATTAGTATATCTGAGTGTTTATGCTTGTAAAAATATGCATGCTGTTTTTGCCCTATGTATTGTGTAAAGTGGCCAATGAAGTGTTCTGTCACGGTTTTTGTTTTTAGTTTGTTTGTTTAGAGACAGTCTTGCTGTGTTGCCCAGGCTGGAATGCAGTGGCGCAATGCAGCCTTGGCCTCCTGGGCTCAAGGGATCCTCCTCCCTCAGCCTCCTGAGTAGCTGAGCCAACAGGCATGTGCTACCACACCCAGCTAGTTTTTAAATTTTTTGTAGAGATGGGGTCTTGCTATGTTGCCCAGGCTGTTGCTATGTTTTTATATGTTTCTCAAATCCCCTTTAAATTTTTTTTTTTTTTTAGACAGAGTCTCGCTCTGTCACCCAGGCTGGAGTGCAGTGGCATGATCTCGGCTCACTGCAAACTCTGCCTCCCAGGTTCACGCCATTCTCCTGCCTCAGCCTCCCGAGTAGCTGGGACTACAGGTGCCTGCCACTAGGCCCGGCTATGTTTTATATTTTTAGTAGAGACGGGGTTTCACCGTATTAGCCAGGGTAGTCTTGGATCTCCTGACCTCGTGATCCACCCGCCTCGGCCTCCCAAAGTGCTGGGACTATAAGCGTGAGCCACCGCGCCCGGCCCCCCTTTAAAAATTTTAAATACATTTCTTCAAAATAATTTTTAGATTTTCTAGAATTATATTTTTGGGATTTTGATCTTTCAGGATTCCAGCGTTCAGGATGATGACACCCGAAACTATGCCTTCTGGGATTATGATCAGCTCCTGTATTCTCCCATATATACCTGCTGCCTTTAATTTATAGAATAATGAAGATAACCAAGACAATATATTTCCATGGTACTTTACAGTTTTCCAAGTACCAACATAGACATTATTTTGTTAATTTTTCACAATAGCCATGGGAGGCAAGCCAGACAAATACAGACGCTCCCTGACTTACGATGGTTTGACTTACAATTTTCTGACTTGATGATGGTGTGAAAGTAATATATATTCAGTGGAAACCGTAATTTGCATTTTGATCTTTTCTATTTTGTATTATTAGTAACATTTTTATTATTATAAAATAGGTTTTGCATTAAATGATTCTGTCCAACTGTAGGCTAACGCAAGCCTTCAGAGCACATTTAAGCAGGCTATGCTATGCTATGATGTTTGGTAGGTTAGGTGTGTATTAAACACAATTTTTTTTTTGTGAGATGGAGTCTTGCTCTATTGCCCAGGCTAGAGGGCAGTGGGACTTGGCTCACTGCAACCTCCACTTCTGAGGCTCAAGCAATTCTCTTGCCTCAGCCTCCAGAGTAGCTGGGACTACAGGTACCTGCCACCATGCCCAGCTACTTTTTGTATTTTTAGTAGAGACAGGGTTTCACCATGTTGGCCAGGCTGGTCTCGAATTCCTAGCCTCAAGTGACCCACCAAAGTGCTGGTGTGAGCCACCGCGCCTAGCTAAATATATTTTTGACTTACAATATTTTCAATTTACTATGGGTGTACTGGGACATAACCCCATCGTGAGTCAGGCAGCACCTGTAAAATTATTTCCACCTCTCAGGTGGGAAACCCAGGTAACTGCCCCAAGATGGCACAGCTAATTTCTTTGGACAGAAATGGTGCTGGTCCACTGTACATTAGAGCCTGCACACACTCAAAAGAGACACTCCCACTCTCACACACCTGTAACCAATCTTATTTCCCCAAAACCCCAGAGACTACACACACGCCCAGCACAGAGCAGAGTTGGGGAAGAGGGCCGATGCCATGCCAAGAGTAAAGAGACCTCGGGTGCAGGCAGAAGGGGTCGCTGATGACACAGAGGGTCCCACGACCAGAAGGAGGAGAGAGGTTCTGTCCAGCCTTGAGGGCCCTCACTCGCCACCCCGTTTTGTGACCCGCTCCAGGCACAGTCAAATCCCTTAGCTGGGAGGTTCTGTGCCCAGCCTCAGCCTCCAAAGCTCCCCTGCTTCCTCTCCTTCTATCCCCTACCCCCTACTAGAGAAGTGCCCAGAATGGATACATTACCCTGCCAGGACTGTGGCTGCACTGGCTCTCACTGACAGGAGGTGGAGTAGGAGGAACCACAGAAATTTTGCTGCCAAGGAAAATAGAGGAATAAGAAATGGGTTGTGAACTATGCAAGTCATTAGTTTTACGAATACACAAAATGTGCCATTATTCTATAATTCTAGTTCTCCGCCTTTTTTTTTTTTTTTTTTTTTTTATAACTGCCTCACTTTTTGGAAGAATAGCCAGCAGCCCTGCTTGGACCTGCTGCTCTTTGAAGGGCATGATTTCCTGGTATCTATATGAGGGTGATGCTGCCTAAAATCTGGGTACTCCGTTCTGCTCAGTCACGTGTCCTGAAACGGCCTGGGTGCTCCGGCCTGGACCCGCCACCTGGCTGCGGGGAAACCCCTGGCTCCCATCGGCACTCCCATGTACTCTGAGCACAAACCACACCAGCAGAAGCGCCAAAAATGTTGTGGATGTGAGAATCAACCACAAAGCAAACTGGAAGCTTGTGCTAAAAGAAATGGGAAAGAATACGGGAGAAAAAAAAAGGAAAAAATCTTGATACTGGAAAATTTCATCATGGACCCAACAAAATAGCAGCTGGTGGGCAGCTTTCAGAAACACTTTAATAAATTAATAAATTGAGTGTAATCAGGTGTGTGAATTATGGCCGGCTTCGTGACTGCTCAGTTTTTAGAATTTCATGCAAAGAAGTTCACATCTCTCAGGCCATTATTCAAGTCTATCAATGTTTATTCCACCAATATCTCTTAACGTGCCAGGCACTGCGTAAGGTGTTAGAGATAGGCATAATTAATCAAAGCAAATGCTTGCCTTAGAATTTCACTTAATGTGCAATTAAACATAATATTTAGTTTCCTTATGACATTTCAGGAGAATTTAAGTAGAGCTGAATATTTAGTGAGAGAATACTATGCTAGCTAGAAGGTTTCTCATGAGAATCTGGAAACATCTCTGCTTTAATCTTTTTCAGGAACTTTATCTTTAAAAGAAAAAAAAAAAAGAAAAAAGAGTTACATTCCAAAGCAGTGACATGTGAAAGTCAAGAGACCTATAAGTTCTTGCAGAGTGTCCTCTGCGCTCCTGCCCCGGAGGGCCTGGGACGGTCTGTCCTTTGTAACACTCACCTCAGCTTCTGATAAGATTGCAAGAGCTGCCCTCCAACTGTCTCATGTTTGCCTGCAAGAGATATGCATAGAGGGCGTTTATTATTAAGAATAGCAGCACTTAGCTGATGTAAATACAGGAAATAATAGATTACAATTACTTTCTCCAGTATCATTTCTAGTGATTAAAAAGTAAGAGATCATTTGGAGATGGTAGAAATGTTCCAGAATTAGAGTGTGGAGATGGTTGTAAAACTTTGTAAATTTACTCAAAATTATTGCACTGTATGCTGAAAAGATACATTTTATGTTACGGAAATTAAACTCCCCTAAAGCTGCCATTTAAACACACACACACACTATGAAACCGTAATTGTTGGGAATGACTACTTTTATTAAAAGTTGATATTGGATTAGATTTTCTAAATCTTCCATTCATCCTTTGGAAACATTTCATAATGGAATGAATCGATTCCCCTAAACTTGCCTTGTGATGAAGATTAAATTAATCTTTTAAAAACTGTAATCTACTTATTTCTAGTTATAGAGGCTAATAATTTCCTAAATAAGACTGCGTCTGATATAGTACTCTTTTTGTTTCAAGAAAAGAGGGGTTTTTATGATGTGTTAAGAGCCCAGAAATAAAACTCAGCATGTTCCCAGTTCTGTGAACACAGTGTTTCCCAGCCAAATGCATAGGAAGAGGTCAGTCCTTCCCCAGGAAGGGGCTGGGAAGCAGCATTCTCCTGCTAAGGGAGGTTCCCAGAGGGCTCCACTCTGCCCAACACACAGACCAGAACACCAGGCCTGCCAGCCTGGGAGGCAGTCCAGCTCCTGTGCCGTGTGCTTGGGGGATTTTAGCCAATCCAAAAAACCATTTACATACAGAAGCATCACTTCCATAAGACGCACTGAAGGACACAAGACAGTGAGAAAATCAGATGGGCTGGCCGTTGGGAGGGCCAATAGCATCTGATGTTAAGCTCTCCACACCAAGCCCCAAGCCTCAAAGGAAGAAGGCAGCCCGGAGGTCGGGGTCCTTAGCCAGGCTGGCCACAGGGAGTACAGAAGCATTTGAAATCATGGCTACAGTTCCGAGGCCACCTTCCTGTGTGCATTTTCTGGGGTTCATCGGGGGGACATTTGGCTTTCACCGGATTCTATCAGGCACCTGTGACCCTTCCCCTCCCCATTAAGAAATACTTCAGACACAACGAAAAGGTACAACACAGCCTTGCCTGAAGCCCGAGTACTCAACTAGTAGGACCAGCTGGTCATGGACGAAAGCTGGCACCTGCAGGAGCACCCTTGGAGAAAACATCCAGGTCCAAGCAAAAAAAGAGACAGCGTGACTGCAGTGTGCTGGCAATGGAAGCAAGAAAAAAAACAGCCACACTGCTCATCCTGCCCATCCTGGGGCAAGCACAGACCTGGGACAACCAGCGCAGAGCAGTCTGTGGGCTGTGATCTACCACAGGACGCTCCTGTCTCTGGGTCCCCCCGCCCCATGTAGCCTTACAGCCACCACTATCACCCTGTCCCCGGGTCCCCCATGCCCTATGTGACCTTATAGCCCTCATCTGTCACCCTGTCCCCAGGCTTCCCCACTCTACCTGACCTTACAGCCCTGTCACCCTGCTGCGAGTCCCTCTGCTCTACG